TGAAGGTGCAAAAAAGCACCACCCAGCATAGCTCAGTGGATCTCTGAGGCACACAAACCATCGCGCTACGGTAAGGTCCAGCCTCATTGCGATGGAATGTATGTATGTGGACATGTAAGTATGTACAGCCGTGTTTATGAGATTTGTAAATGCTTTCCTGCACTTTTGATCATGTCGCCAGTGCTAAAGAGATGCTTGATATTTGTGGACTTGATGCGGTTGCCCAGATAAGCAAGGGGATGACTTTAGTTGGTGGCGAGTCACAACCGCCACCTCACAATGCTGTTAAGCAGACATTTGTGGATTTTTATCGAGAGAACGCTTGACGGGCGAAAAGCCACCACGTCCTGGAACACTGCCACCGAACTATTTGCTGGAACGGGGTAAACCCGAATCACCCAGCTGGCAGCACAAGGAGGTTGTTCGGCTAGCTAATCAAGGATTTACTGTTGCTTCAAAACAATGATTTCACTTGCAAAAGTTACACTGCGTTTTGATTTCTTATGACATTGTATGGCTGTACTGCATTTGCCGTTACTTGATTTCTCGTCTAATGTGTCCGAAATTGGTTTATGTGAAAATACGTTTCCTACCATACTACTAGCAGAGGGAAAGTAGGTTACACTATGTTCAAAGCAAAGCAACTAAAAGTCAACATAAGCCTTGTGTTTCTGACCGAGCACATTTTCAACACCATTTTACACTAGAACAGCGGATAAACATTGGGTACAAAAATCTACTTGAAAGGTCAGGCAATTGGTGAAGAAAGTTAATACATATACCTACATTCGCTCAAGCAAACGTTCACGCGCGGCATCAATGACCTACGTAAAGTTCACTAGAAAACGTGATAAATTAAGGCAAAACAGAGTTATTGTAGGGAGGAGGAAGGCATTGATTGCCCGGAGGACAGCAGGACCACTAAAACAGGGGCGAACGAAAAGGGGAACAGGCAGAATGTGAGGGATTAGCGGAGCAACTCTGACCTGACAGAAGGAGACGAGAAAGGAACACGAGCGGCGTCCGGTGGTGAGCCTGAGCCAGCAGAACGGTGAGGGTAGTCGTCGAGATCGCAATAAATAAGACGAAATCGAGGTTATTGAAACATCCCGGACCAACCCCAAGCAGCGTGATGCATCCACCTTCAACCACATCACAAGCTATCGAACGACTGTCGGCTGGTCAGAATGTGACACGTAGAAGCGGAGATAAGGGGGTGAAATGGACCGGGAATACTCCATCGCCAGGCCCCCAAATTGCATGGACGTGTCGCTAGCGGAAGACAAGAGAGATAGTGCGTGGTGGGGAGGATACATGACTCATTAATGTACGCGTGTGTGAGTGGTGACGTAGCTTGTGATCGCACCAATAAAGATTGTGCTTCATTGCAGCGTCGTTCTCGCTACATTATGAAAAGAAGCGGTACGAGAATACAGAACCTTAAGTATGTAGCGTGTAGATGAGAAGGAACGAGTTTCCGATCACTGATCGTGCAGAGGGTGATGCGGATCAGTTAATATCTGGGAAGAAAATATGTGACATCCATCGAAATGCTTGGTAACAATGAAGTCTACAAGAGACATGAACTTACTCAAACGGACAATAATTGTAAAGTCTTTTTGAGGAAGTCCAGAAGGCGAGCAGAGCAACCAGTGAGGCAGCATACAGGCAGCTACGAATTTATAGAATAACTAACGAGGTACTGAAAGTTTTCTGATTCCCAGGGCATAAAACAATAGTATCCTTACCTTGCGAACTGTTTCGTGGAAGTGTATTTACCATGTTAAGTTTTGGGATAAAATTACACCAAGGTACCTGACAGTGAGTGAACTAAGTATAATGCATCCATTCACAACAATAGGGCTCGAAGCACTGGGCAAAGTTTGACCCCTGTCAGCGTGAAGAAGAGAAAAGTTTGGGTCACAGTACTTTGTATCGTTGAAGACAGGATCGGGAAGATGACCACCGTTCAAGCTCGTCCAACCCTTATTTGAAGCGCCGATAGTGACTCGTTGGTGGGAAAGACACTGCTTAAAACGATGTCGTCGGCGTAGTTACATTCAACACAACCTGCTGAAATAGGGATTCTCTCGCTGTACCAATAAAAGAAAAGGGGGAGAGCATTGTCCCTTGTAAAAGACCCCAGTCCTTGGTAGAGTACCTCCGTGTTGACCACCTCTATGTTGACTACTTTGACCAAGTCCCTTGGGTGGTCAAATTACACAGGTTCTACCGTATCATGAAATTGCATTACAACTTTATGTACGGCTTATACGTTCTTACCGTTCATCAATAACAGATTTTTGTCAGCCCAGACTCGGTCATCACGAGGCCTAACTTATCTCACATACTCAGCTAGAAACGTCCGTGCATATGCTGTTAGTTTAGACTTCTTGTTTTTACTTACAGAACACAGGATAAAAATAATTTGTGTGGTGCACATATGCTAAAGTCCCCTGCAAGATTTTTTGGCATGTACGGCTGCATCCCGGTACGGCACGTATTTCTCTTACATGCAGCAAGTTGCGGTGGCCATATCCCCACTATCGGCAGACATATGCGTTCCCATTCTGCATATTTCCACAATGTGCGTCCGAAAACCTTTGTGGATGGTTGCGTATGTTAACAACCGTGTTGATTAGGATAAGAGGCCCGCACATACCCATTGAGAGACAACAAGCCCAACCCTATCTGCCAATCGCCGAAATGAAGCATTAGCGCATGGTACGACTAAGCTAACGGAGTCTCTGTGAGAACTCGTATCATTTGCAAAATAGAGCACAAAATGGAGCAGCTAATAAACGCCGAGTTTTGCTTCCGTTTAAGGAAAACAGTGGCGGAGACTTACGAACTGTCAGTACAAGTGTTCGGTGTTAAGGCAGTGAGTTAAATGTATCTGTGTTTGTGTGTTTTGAACGCTTTAGAGATGGTAGAGGATTTGCTGAGGATGAGCTGTTTTCGAGACGACTGTCAACAAACGTAATACCAAACAATATCGAACGAGTGCGACAGATGCTTGTGCATGATAGGTGGCTGCTTTTGAGAATGATAGCGGAAGAAATGTAAGCATTAAAACATTAAAAGCAACGGAATATTTGTGCCCGGTTTTAACCGCGTACGCTGACAGACGTGCAGAAGCAAAAGCAAGTGCAAACATCTGGAGTTTTCCTCGATATGTCTAACCAGAATCTGCACTTTTGGAAGCCAGAAGATGAGACCTGGTGCTACCAATACGATCCGGAGACCAAGCGACAGTCAGTAACATGTTGTCAACGTCTTCCTCCAGTCCCAAATTCGTCGGCTGACAAAATCGAAGCTTAGGACGATGTTGGTTGCATTTTTCGGTAGCAATGGATTGACCCATAAAGCCTCTCTACCCGAAGGGCAAACTGACAACGACGCACTTTACGAGGGAGTTTCAACATGGCTGCTGAAACGCATCCGGTAGGTTTGATCAGAAATTTACCGGTGTGGTGGGTGGGACTTCCTGCACCACGATGTCCACCCGCAAACTGCGATCCGCATAAGCAACTTTCTTGCTCATCGCAAGGGTACTGCTCTGTAACGCCTTCCTTTTTCTTCAGATTTTGCGCCGATGGACGTCTTTTATTTCCCAACCTTAACTTACGCTATACAACAGTTGCAGATTTTCAACAATGCGTGATCACGTTGCTTCGAGCAATTCCACAATAGCCGTTTTCTGGCAGTTTCCAACAGTTCTACTACCGATGTCAGAATCGTGTTATAGCTAATGGTGATGAATTTGAAGACCAGCAGATGTATGTTGTCTGTAACCTATGTTTCCTTTATTTTCTGCGATCATTCACCGAACTTTTCAGGCGCACCTAGCATTTTCTACTAGATACAAAGAGGAATAACTGAGCTTATTGGGTTTTGAATCGGATGGGATCTGTAAAATACACGTACTTCACCACTGTCTGTTCCCTTCTGAGCTTATCAGCGGAGGGCATTCGTTTAGCTAAATAAAACATCAAACATTCAAGACATCTTATAATCCCTGAAACCTCGTGGACGTCGGAAGCGATCGTGCTTACGCGAAACCCCATATGCAATACACCAACCAGACCTAACCGTCCTGGCACAGGTTCGATCGTAGTATGCTTGAATCCATAGCGGACGGCGAATAGGATTGCTAAGGGCCTGTTCTATTTTGACAGCAGTGTTGGTTGGAGGTTCACGGAATATCTACTGAACACTACCGACGTCTGCAAAGTGATATCCAAACCGCATGCACACCCCACAAGGACTCTATCCAGATCTACCACCACCTGGAGCTTTGGTACAGCACCACGCAACTCAAGCTGACAAAGTGTTGTAGCCGGCTGAAGTCGAATTGGAATATTTTCTCCGTCGGATGTGTTTTTCCAAGGTTCGCTATTTCTGCATCTAGGTTTGCGGTGTAATACAACCTTGACGATCGCCAACCCGCTTGCTCTACGTAGTTTAGTCCGTGTTCATCGGGAAATATAATGCAAAAATACAATGTGGTCATTAATCTTCGCAATAAAGTTTGGATTGGAGCGTTCATGTTTACGTTGGACCTAACAACATGGTAGGTTGAACACCACATCTCTTTTTAACCGTTATTATGTGGAGTTTGAAATTCTCGTTATAGCCATTTTGCAGGGCTCGCTAAGCGTTACTGTTTTACTCACATTAGGAAATCGTTCAACTGATCCATCATTTTCTTTTGTGCTGCACCTTTCAGTAGAATGAACAAGGCAGTTGTTCCCATGGAAAGGACAATCTGGCATATATTCCAGAATGACTCAACAAAGTTCAAAAAACACCAGTGCAAAAAGCGAAAAGCCGACGCGTTCGGTCAGTTTGATTAGTTACACGTTTGTTGTTCAAGTTGATAAAGATCGCTAGAACTTAGCACCATTTTTGTGCCTCCTCTTTCATCCGCTGTGCATAGAAGACATGACCTTCTATTTTGATTATGTAATTAAATAGGCTTCACATAGATGTTTCAAGCACAAGAAATGATGTTTGAGGATAACTGGAAGTTTGCACATACTGATGGCTCTTCGATTAACCATGGAGTCTTGTGTCTATGAGCATGGTGAACAATTATGCCTAGCTTATGAATAGCCACAAAGGGCGATTGAGCTTGACATGAACAGCCGTAACATTGTTGATGCGAACACAGATGGAGATTGGTTGGCCTGCAGTTCGTTCACTCGTTTCGAAGACCAACGCAATGCGTGGGTTGGTGAATTGTTTCTCCGGTGACTGGTGGAATCAGCATTCATATAATCCGGAAACCGGTCCTGTATTGTAGAGAGAGTGCTGTGGGACGATTTGCATTCGGGACACTTCTTCTTGTCTTGAGGGTAATAAAATAGTAAAGGAGGAATACAACGGATCATAAATAATGTCAGTGTTTATTATTACTTCCAGAGGTCTTACTGTACAAGAATACCTCGCGGTTAATACTGTTGAGCTCAGAGAAACGAGTAGAACACCACAGAGCGCATGATAAGAAGCCGTTAGTCTTCCAGTATACTTCTGGCTTACTTTGGATACAGTGTATCTGAAGTATCCCTATGACTTGAGGTACGTAGTCTAGCCCACGAGATGGGACAGCATGTCCCCATGTAAACTGGCCAAAGCGGAACTTGTTGCGTCTCCTGTTTCTAGAAACTTCGGAAATTAATATTTGTCGTGTAGAAACGACGCCTTCACCTGTCATCTAGCGTAACTAAAACAAACTTCGTACTACAGGTTTAATTGCAATGAATGATTTGTATTTGACCGTTCACGGTTATTCAAGTGATCTCAGAGTCTCATAGTCAGGGTGAGCTAATTGAGGAGTCTACAAGAAGCCAGTGACATTACGATGCGCAACTGGTTACACCGGGTGATCCTACACACACCACTGAGTCACGGAAATGTGGATTTTGTCCCTTGAAGAGATTGATCCTCACTTCCTCATAATACTCAGATAAGGCAGTCCTCTGTGGGTTTTAACTGTAGTGAGTGTCGTGGTTATGCTTGTTACGCCTAGACAATGACTTTTTCATTTGCTTTAGGGTTGTCCGAGAACCGGGGTGCAGTTGCTACATTTTCCTTTATCCACTGATCCGTTCTAGTATTAGCTGGCAATCATGAGCCAGCGAAATGAAAAGTTGAAAAACAAGATTGCCTGAAATAGTAAAATATGCCGGGTTAGCAGGCAACGGGCGATGATGCATGCACGTACCAGTACATCAGTCTCTGTCGCTTTACATTGGAATTGGTAGACGCTTAAATTAACGAGCAGTCACAAAAAAAGTGTCCTCCTGCGTTATTCGCCCTGAAATCTTTGGATTTATTCTCACAGTGACCTACGTACTATCATTCGATTGGGCTCCGCGAGCTCCACCTTCCACTGTTCACCTTTTGGATCTGTCATTCCTGGATCAGCAGCAAACTGTGCTTTTGCAATTTGGAAATCAACCGTGCTTGAATTTTATCGGATAATTTATTTTTCCTCTCGTCGCACAAGAACTCTGGTGGTCCTATTTTAAAGAGCTTTTTGGGAGTCACCCGAGCATCTTACTACCACTCCTTCTAGTCGCTGTACAAAGCGATAGTTGTCAATTTGGTCCGCCTTTTGTGCAGCCACTGTCGTCAATAGACAGTATTTTCCAAGTCGTTCTGTCTTGCCCCAGTCCTACCTGCCCACTTACCTGCACGCACATCACCTACCTACCCTAAGGAACGGGTGACTCATCTGGACGCCACACGTCTGACCCCCCTGACCTCAAACCAGCGCCGATTGCTGCGCAACGAAAACTGAAGCGAAGTCATACACGGTGCGTCAGTCTCTCTATCCTCTTGCTACCCCTATTGTAGTGTACACATCCAGTTACTCCATTCCATCTTGTTAGTGGTGAATCTCTACACCATATCAACACCATCTGCGGTCATTCCCACTTCGCTGCCTCATTACTGAACGTGACCACATAATTCATTAGAATTATCCATTCTAAGCTAGTGGTGAGAGATCTACAACATAGATTCTGAACTTTCCTTTTCTATCTAATCCCTTTTGGAATTGGTGCAAGTCAAAATAACAAAGTACACGCCTCAAGTAGAAATGGCCCATTCGAAAATCAATTGTGACCTATGTGTAAAAACTGTTAAGTCTGGTCCAGTTTGCTTTAACTGTCAAAAAGCGTACCATTCGAAGTGTTTAGGGATGAGTGCACTCGAAACTAGACAATACAGCAGCAAAACCGAAGCATTTTGGTTCTGCCAGGTGTGCAAATCCATTCCTGTCGTTAGTTGTGTAATTTTTCTAATGAAAACGTGTGAAAAGTTGGCGGAAACAGTTGAGCAACTGGTGAACGCTCGCAACGCAGCTGTGAAAGTAAACAACGCTATACTTGAAACTGAACGGACACCTACAAACTCCCCGTTTAGGCCGAGGAAGAGGGCCAGGCATCCCAACCCCACCATCACGTCTCAGTCTCCAACGACCCCTAGCCTCATGACCACTAAGTGAAAAAGTCGTTTACAACCCACTTGCCACTACGTCCTCCAACGGTGTAATAATTAGTAATTCAGTTGACATACTCGACACACAAAACTCCAGCAAGCCTACGGTAAAAAATAACTGGACTTCCTACGCAGCGGTTGCTTCTAGGAAAACGCCGTCAAAGACACCTCTGACTCCACTTATCGGAAAGGTCAAAACTGTGCCTCAACATGGATCGCTATCGCCAGTGCGGTTCACAAATCGATAAAAAGCCAAAGAACCTAATGCTGTTAAGTCGCAAACCACAAGGCGGAATCATGGTGCCTTAAGTCTTGTGTGCACTAACGTTCCTGAATCCAAATCCAACACAATAAAGGGCAAACTGATAGACGATCGTAGTCAGTGGGATTCCATCTGTAGTGCCATCAGCATGCGCGCTGAACTCACTACGCTGAGCCGCATCGCAAGACACCCAAACAACTTACACTACGGTGAACCTCGACTACTTCGAGTAACACTACATTCCGCGGAAGAAACGGAATCCATTCTGCTCGCTGCAAATCGACATCACAGAGCATGCAACGGAGTATGTATCTTACCGGATATTCCGTGGAAAGAACGTTCAAAGGATATGAACAATAAACAGGGAAGTAGAAAACACGCGCTGAAAACCGTCATTATTCATGGCGTCCCTGAGTCTCAAGCTTCACCTCCTGAAGAAGTTCAGGCACATGACCTGGAGCAATGGCGATACATCCGTGAGGCGCTGTCTTTAGAAAATGTCATTGCTACTTCCCTGACCAGGATTCCCGTATCACCAAATTACAAAGGGTGTGGTCCTAGGTTGCTGAAGTTGGTCTTACCGTCTGAGCTAACTTTACAGACAGTTCTAGAGAACTGGGGTAAATTCCGGAACATGCTACCAACAGAAATTCGAATTAAAGCAGCAGGTTTACGACCAGAGGCTACTGGTTACTCCATGGAGAGAACCAACTCAGTGGGAACAACCGTTGTTGCAGAGTCCACCACAGAGACTGATCTGACTGCCGTCATAGCATCCGGCGAGGCACTGCAGGAGGTGAGTGACCACCAGGATCATCATGAACCTGATCACACGGTGCAGAGAGTTATCCCAAATCATTCTCACGAGCCTAAGACAATTCCAAAAAACTAGTAGCAGCCGACCTCAAGAGGGTCGGCAAAGTCTCAAACCTGTTGTCTATATCCACAAATAACCTTCTAACCTATGAATCACTCTCCTGTTTTTATACCAACGCACAAGGTCTTTTAAGCAAACTGACGGAGCTTCGCCTATGTCAGACCTCGATGTCAAGCGACCTCGTTATGATAACCGAGACCTGGTTGAATGAAGCGATCACTGATACAGAAGTCGCACTACCTGGGATGTCTATTCTACGCAACGATCGACCAAGTAGAGGAGGTGAAGTAGTACTTTATTATCGCAGCGAACTACACATTGATCTCATCGATGACTCAGAGGTTCAGATTGTCGATGCGCTTTGGTGTCGTCTTCAACTTAGCCGTGGGGACGCATGTTTGTTGGGTGTGGTGTATCGCCCTCCGTCGGCTACTTTGGAAATGGACAACCGCCTAGCCTCCACAATGAAGACCATTCTCTCGCAGTTGTACAGCCACATACTCCTGGTTGGCGACTTCAATATTCATACCATAGAAACCCCAGCCTGTATCAACGAACACATCAAAATGGAAGTACAGGAGATAATCAGTGGGTTACCACTCTACAATCACATCACATCTCCCACAAGATTCAGGACGGGAAACAAACCGGGTGTCCTGGATCTTGTATTCACCAATGAAGAGCTTATGATCGAAACGGTATCGATAGAGAGTCCTTTAGGCCGTAGCGACCATGCAACCCTCATGTTCAAGTACATCTGTTATGCAGAGTATTCCTCAGAAAACACCGAGGAATGTCAGCTCATTACGGATTACGGCGCTCTACTCAAACTTATAAATGCTACAAACTGGACATTTCTAGCAGAACGATCCCCCGATGACGCCTGGTCTGAATTTGCTCACCAATTCAACACGTTAGTAACTAGTGCTTCTAGGAAAAAACCTTCGCGAGCGAAGACAGTAAAATCATTCATACGCAGCAGGACACGCAAGTGTATCGTTACGAGGAATTTACTCTGGCGAAGATACAAGGAGTCATCGAGTGCCGAAACATTGGAAGTCTACGCTATCCAAATGAATCACTGCGTAAACCTGGTACGCGAAGATAAAAGACAGCACCAACAGAACCTAGCCGAGAAATTCCTTTCAAACCCCAAGCTCCTGTACAGACACGTTAACAAGCTCCGTAAAGTGCAGCGAGGAATTCCTGCTTTACACACATTGTGTGGACTTGCACAAAACGCAACCGAAGCGGCCAACGCCCTATGTCAACAATTCACCCCGAACTTCCAGAGCACGACATCGCCGCATACACTGTGCCCAATCGTTGTACCACCACCAGGACTTAGCCACATCACATTTACGACTGAGGATGTCATGAAAAGGCTAATTGCCCTGCGCGAGCATACCTCTCCCGGTGTTAATAATATTCGTCCAAAAGCGTTGAAATTGGCTGCAGTAAACCTGGCGGACCCACTCTGCAAGTTCTTCCAACGATGTCTTGATAAGACGCGCGTGCCAACAATGTGGAAGCAAGGCATCGTCACTCCCATCCATAAGGAGGGAAGTCGTACAGATCCGGCCAACTATCGCCCGATAACACTACTTCCGGTGCTCTCCAAAATCATGGAAGCGATTGTTGCTGAAGCGCTGATGAACTTCTTGGAAGAACGCAATATCATAGCACAAGAACAACATGGATTTCGCAAGAACCGATAAGCACTTCAAACTTGCTGCTTGCCAGATCCAGTTGGACTGAGACCGTTGACAGCGGCATAGGTGTTGACGCAGTATATCTGAACTTCTCAAAGGCGTTCGACCGTCTAAACCACCGTATCCTCCTTCACAAGCTGCAGTGTTGTGGAATTTGTGACCCAATCCTCGGTTGGATAGCTAACTTCTTGCTTCAACGACATCTGAATGTCAGAGTTCGCGGTGTCATCTCTGACCCAATTGACGTTAAGTGCGGAGTGCCCCAGGGCTCAGTACTTGGTCCACGACTATTCCTGATTTACATAAACGATCTCGCAACAGTAATCAACTCCAACTCCTTACTCTTCGCTGATGATCTCAAGATATGACGGGCCATTAGAACAACCCGCGACAATGCAGCACTTCAGGATGATCTGGACAGGGTCTACGAATGGTCGACTCAGAACCTGCTTCAGTTCAACGCTACAAAGTGCAAGGTGTTGAGCATCCGCCATAAAGCCACTTGCGAATACAGACTGGGGGATAAAATATTGCAGCGCACTACAACGGAATGCGATCTAGGAGTGATAGTTCAGGAAGATCTGGGTTATTCCCGTCAGGCCGAGAAAGCCTGCAAAAAAGCTAACCAAAACCTTGGTTTTTTGCGGAGGGCATTCGGGCGCTTCGATCCTTCCATCTTTTCCAAGATGCTGAACGCCTACATTCGGCCTCATTCTGAGTACGCCATCCACGCCTGGCAGCCATGGCAAAAGCAAGATCTTACCGCTCTTGAACTGCCACAACGAAGGGCGATCAAGAACGTAAAGGGCCAGTTTTATCTCCCTTACCGATTGAGGCTGAAAACCCTCGGGGTCTACAGTGGACAATATCGACGCCTGCGTGGCGACTTGATAATGACTTATATGATCTTGAGGAATCAAAACCATTCTTGTCGTCACCTACTAAAGCTGAATAGCAATACCACACCCAGAGGACACCAGCTAAAGCTGGCCACACAATACAGCCGGTTGGAATGCCGCCGGAATTTCTTTTCCCCTCGTGTATGCGAACATCGGAATGCTCTTCCCACATACAATGTTTCTTCCCCCACGCTAACGGTATTCAAAAGACGTCTGGATGATTCGCTTATCCACCTACATTACGCTATATAATCAGAGATGTCTACGTCAAACGCGAAAAAGATAAACGGTGCTCATCCTCAGCTTTTGTGCTTCACTATTTACACGCTGCTGTTGTGGAATATAGTTTCGGAAATATTACAGCTGCATTCATCAATTTACCTCAGTCCAAGAAAGTGGCGCACGAGTAAGCGTTGTCGTTTCTTTTGTTCTTAAGACATGCCTTCCCCATATCACTTCCCATAGTACTCTACAGCAACAATTCAGTACACATTCTACAACGTTTATATGAATAAGGGGCACTTGAATTCACTAGACGCTTAAATTGATTTACGCTTAAGTTTACTTTCACTTCAACCATCCTACGGGACTTGTAAAGCAATCGCTTTTTTACCTGTTATATATCCTTGTTCATTGTTCATTGCTCTCCCTTTTTCAAGTCTGAAAGTTGCTGGAACTGGTGGCAGTATCGGGGACCACTGAGATCAAGTGTAAGCTTTACTTACGCGACTGAAGAGGCCAATTGCATTATACGGTGTAATCTGATGACTACTATCTTATCATGTGACTTTCCACGAACGGTCCATTCTCTCATTTATTAGCATCTTCGCCTATAGTATTTTCCGAAAATGAGTCGTTTAAGGTTTTTATGTGACGCTAAATACTTTGGTCAGAGATCCTTGTTACAGTAGTGTCGGACCCACCCATTTCACATTGCGGTCTTCTGAAGGGATCAGATAACTTTACTTGAATCTGGTCTGGTGTACTATTACCGAACACGATCGTGTAAATCTTCCCATGCTTATCCAGTGGTTCAGTAACACAACAAATGGCAAAGTGTTCGCCACCTCTCTGGGACAAAAGCGTAAGATCGCTGCACACATACGTATGCGCGATGCACATATATCAAGCACTGCTGGATTCACGGAAAAAGCTATTCTTTTGAAAAGACAATATGAGCAGAAAGTGGAACGGTGTACTCCGCATGTCACTTATCACCTTAACCGCATCATTGTTGCTGAAGGATTCGATATCAGTTTGCAAGTGTAGCATAACGGTAACAGATTGCTGGGTACAAAACTTACATGACTTTAAGCTCATTTGCACGATTGCCCTTCTTTCATCTGGCTCAAACCCGACCGGCATCAGTCGACGGTACCGGCAATGCGGTGACGCAAAAACGAACGCAGTTATCCCAGTTTCGCTATTCTGCTCTTCTTTACTCAAAAACTATACGTGTAAACAGAAGACGCAAGCATTCAGCTTTTCCACATCACATAATGTCTAATACAGCAGTTATTTCAACCAGTTTCACGAACTGTAGTCTCCTGCAACTGAATGACAGTAAGTAAAACGAACTTATTTCTAGTAACAAACCAACTTCGCGAATGATACATGGTTTGAGTCGGAAAATAAAATCGACAGAAGGAAGTTGTTATTCTTAGTGTGACAGAGCACTTTGTGAGTAAATACTGAATAAGTGAGCCAGCCAGCTAGCTCACAATCATTTCCATCCAATTTTGAATATCATTTACTGCATTTACACCTCGTTCCCTTCCCTTTATTCTCTGGGCGTGTGCTGGGAGTCCTACTCCGAACCACAGTGAAACTGAAATTGAAATGAAACGACCTTCGACAAAAAAGGGGGACCAGAATACAAAGTGAATACACATGGTTATTATCTTAGGCGATCTCAACGTTGCATGTCCCTGGCCATCAAGTTTTTATTTTGGAAACTCCAGGCACTAGCTGAATGGTTCCCATACGTGCAAATTAACTCAGGACACTGAGATGTTTAGTCTCCCTCGCTGTCAACCCTTTTCTGTCTCGGTGCTGGCTATGTTGCAAGCACCGAAGGTGTGTGTTACCGCCAACAATTAAAGCATCTTCACTGAACGAATGCATGGCTTACAATCAATGGCGTGATGGTGTGTGTTGGCCGGAGAATACTAGAAAGGAACAATATCTTGAGTACCACAAAGTCCATTAGATACAAAAGGTTAAGGACCTCTGATGGTTCCATGCCGTGTACCACGTTGTAAACAATTCATCTTATGGTTAAAAATAGCCTCCGTGAAATTTGCCTTCAGTGTGGACATTAATCCGGGGCAAGGAACTTGACCATGATGTTGCTTCATCGTTTATGCCATCATCTCCGCTTTTTCACGCTAGGACTGCGTGATTTGAATAGCTAATGTTGCCAGCCCAGCTGCACTGATCGCTTGTTCTGTTTATGCAGACAAAATAATTGTTTCACCTATTCTAAGCAACGGATTTACGAGATCCACTGTTGTTTGGATCTCTACTTAGCGACGTTACCAACAACATACAGCTGCTGTCCGTTGGTTGTCAAAGGAACCCGAGATCTCGGAATGTACTTTAAACCGATGGTCACGACTGAGCTGCACCCCTTCAGTAACATCATGCCATAAACCGTTGGGCCAGTGCGCTTACGAATCTTTAGAACGCATTCTGTCTAGGGACTGATATCACCAGTTTGCTGGATGCGCAAACTACAGCGACATGACAATCTGTTCTTTCGCTTTTACTGATATCTCATTGTAGAAAAATGAGTTTGCGAAGCACACGGTCCATATCATATGACGGCCATCGTACAAATTTTAATTGCAGTCAGGATGAACTATACTTCTTCACATTGACATTTCCGGCATCATTTTAGCATAAGGCACCAAGGGACTTCCTTTTACTAGTATGTAAATATTAGATGAGAAAAGTAACATTGGCCAACAGAACACTATGTGGGCCATAGAACCACGGTCGTTTGATGGAACTGCTGGAACAATGATAGTGGTATAGAAGCTTGTAAGTCAGCGGAAATTGAGTAACGTGAATGACTGGTACCAGAGCTATGGCGAACTCATCAGAGTAGATAACGAAACCTTTGCCCGAACTACCAAGGTTTTGGTGACGTGGTACTTTACGGAGTTATGAAGTTTGATTTATAAACACTGCAAAGAGTCACCATTCTGCACATCTCGGCTGTGATAACCCCAAGGACAAGCCTGAACAGCACTCGGAAACGGAGCTCATTTGGACTACATGTGGGCGGACAGGACACCGTGCATTTCCCATGAAGTGTATTGTGGCTTTGTGCCTGCAATTTCACACGAAAGTACCATGTCCAGGTGCAATGCGAAGAGTTCAGTTTTCCTGTGTCAGGTCAGTTTGCACTTAGGGACGTGGCCTTCGGATATAAGAAGGCAGCAACCAAGACTTTAAGCGTGTGGGTTGACGAGTAATGTAATGAAATCTAGGGATGCCTGTTTGTACGAAGAGCGGTTTTCTGATCTATGATCGATATTGGCACGGTGCAGTAATTATTATAACGATTCAGGCTTAGTGTGCATGGACGTTTGCAGTCACCGAGATGTATAAAATAAAAGGTGTACAATCAGCTCGGATGGTGCTTATGGATTCACACTGAAATCAAATGTGCATTTGAGTCTAAGTAACTCATCTAGTTGTTTCGTATATCCTATTTTGAGGTGTTAAAACGACCAGATTCTCTAAAGTTCGGAGATAATGTAAACAACGGCTTGTGAAAATTGAAAGGCAACGCTTATTACACTAACCCAGCAGTAGTACTTCCCCAGTGATTCTACATATGTGACAATCATCTGATGCCGAACCACGGAGCTTGTGTCTGTGTGTAGCCTGAGCGATGAAAGACATGTGTGTTCTGAAGTACAAAAAGAAACGAGAAGTGCCATCAATGATTCTATCTCGCTACTCATACTAATAAAATCTGTGGCGTTTACATATTCTATATTCGAAAGAATACAAGGTAAACTTAGAAGCAGTTTGTGGAAAGTAGTTGGTTATTAAAACAACATAGCACAGATACCGCTTTATATACAAACAGAAAAATCTGGTGGCTCATAACTTCGAAGGCACACATCAATATCGATTCCCCCAGAATATCCAACTGGATGATGTGCAACAATAAACATTCAGGTTTCCTTGATACATATACACTGAATTCTCCAACAATTTTAACCATATTCTCAGCTATCGTGCGGTCGCATCACTCATTCTCAATATTTTTACGGATTACTCCTCCTTATTTTGCTGCTCAACACCGAGCTTACCCTCATTGTATTTGGAGTTATCAACTCTACGAAGCGAATATTAGTTTGCCAAATGATTCTCAACCCTTCCTTATCTTAGTCACATTGAGACTGGATAAACTTGTTACTGAAACTCACACGTGCGAACGCCTCATCCTTTAAGTTCCTGTTAGGCCTATTATTCTCACTAGAAAAAGCTTGCTTTGGGTTGCACGAACAGCTTAAACGAACTCAGCCAACACTGTGTTTAACCGCCGAACCATATGTTGCAGACCACGTTCCAATACAAAACGCTGTACAGTACCCAGTTTTTCGGTGGCCACCGCAATCGCTGTTTATCGAAAATCGATGCATCGCCTATTCGACCTTTGTGTGACTTGCGTGCGTCCCGTTTCGCGTCAGTCCGCCTACTCAATTCAAACAACTGGTCAGCTTGTACCGTGAACAACGGTAGTGGCGTACAGCCTTTATTGCCAACGCTCAACGGGTTCACCTGCTAGCACACACGCGCGCACTTAAAGAGGACAGTTCCCGACATTGTTCTTTCGCTCGGCGTCACATTCATGCCCCGATCTCCGTCATCCGATAGGTCGGCGTTCGTCGACGATCAATTTCTTTCCCGAACTCTGCTTGCAATGCCGCCTTCACTTCGCTGAAAGAGCACCCAGTTTCGGACCTCGACGTGAACAGATACGTCGTTATCGCTTTGCCGGTTAACAACGTGCCTAAGGCCGTGAGCAGGTTGGCATCACTCTTGACTCCGTTGCAGGCCGCAAGTTCCCCGAACTCGTCAAGCCACTCCTCCGCATCTCTGTCCGCAAATTGAACTGGTCACGGCACCAATGTAGCGACAACAGTCTTTATTGCCAACACTCAACGGGTTCACCTGCTAGCACACACGCGCGCACTTAAAGAGGACAGTTCCCGACCACCACAGAACATACATTGTTCTTTCGCTCGGCGTCACATTCATGCCCCGATCTCCGTCATCCGATAGGTCGGCGTTCGCCGATTTGCCTTCGTATCTTCCATTCCGCGCGTCTTATTCTGACCAGCCTGGATTCGTTCTGATGTTCTTGATTTGTTTAATCTGGGTTGCGTCGCTCTCCTCGTGGTTATTTCTGGAGGCGCAATCAAACGCGTATATCTCCGAAAATTCGGACCCTTCACAAATACGTTCACCGCTCTTCTCGACCTGGTCCTAACGTCGTTTGTTGTTCGTTGCCCTTTTCCTGCTTGCCCCGTAGGCCTCGAGCTGTTTTGTCGACTTCCGCCCCGGTGTCCTTGTTACTTTTCATCTTCCTTAGTTTTTGCGGCTTGTCCATTCTGCCAGTGATTCTCGCCTTTCGTGCCACTGCAAACTGACCCCAACTGCATGTGCTTGCGTGTTACTACAGACAACTGCATCATGCGATCTATGGGCCGAGACAGGACTAGGATCATAACGCAAAAGAAATTTGGACGCAGAACAAAGCACAGCGAGCCCCAAATGAACAGCATTTGCGGGTACGGAACAGTGTTTCAAGCTGGCATATAATGCTCTGGATGCAGCAAACACTAGCACGCAGTGTGCTGGTTTTGATGAGAGAGATACGAAAAGACCGAACAATAAAACACCCTTTTTGGGCCTGCATTGCTTGAATGGCTGTCCCACTTGGTACGTGCACAGTTATTTTAGCACGAAAATGCCATAACGCAGCGGCGATTGTCAAGGAATACAGGCTTAGTAAAAGTTCTATATTGGCTACAACTGCAGCCGGGATTATCATCGGTGGCAGTACATCAGCCATTAAGTCAATGCTCTGCTGTCGTACAACCACTTTAAGCTACGTAACGACTAATAATAGGATAGGAACTAGGTGAAAAGTTTAATGTCCCCTGCAATCATCTAGAATCAAAGCGTCTAGACCTTCCCTACGTCATAATTAAAAAGAGCTGGCCATCATGTAAACATACGGCTGCATCGACTACAGTGCTTCCGTGCAATTATCAACGCTACGCGTCGTACTCAGATATTAACTTTTACTGACAATTCCCCTTGGCTTTGAGCAACTCGTAAAAATCCCCTGGTCCATTGAGAACACAAAGCTGGGGATAACGACGGTGCTCTTTTCACAACGGAGTAGAACAACAAATTCAACATCAACTCCAACAGTATCCAGCACATTGGCCTACAATAATCCTATCTCAAACTGCAATAGTCAGAAACAATGTAACACAAAAGAACCAGAGTACCGATACGTGCCAGTCACCTGGACCAATTGATGGAACTATATCACAGGCACGATCGATACACGAATCAATCAATCCCCTCAGGCAAGCGTAAGGTGACAAGCACCGCGTCTAAAGTCACGACTGTATAAGTCATTGTCAAACGAAAAGTCAGACTAGGCTAGTGTCACTTAGTGAATGGTGAAGAGTGCAAATGGTCATAACGAGGTTTGCTTACGTAGGGAGGATCTGTTCTAACACGTTTTCGGGCAAAACTTAAGACAGGTAGGGAGGGAAATAGTGACAAACCTAAATAGCTAAAACTTCCGTGACATTACCTCACTAATAACTCAGCACCAAACAGACTATAAAACGACAGTCCGACTACATGACAAGAGTAGACACACCAGTGGTGCAAACTGCGAGCCATGTTTTGTAACACAAGCTGGGTCATATGGACTCCAGCCTGAAGGCGAGACAGACTAACGGCACCTAGTTTGCTCGTTAGTGAATTTATTTCCAGCTGCCAGCTTAAGTTTTGCCCACCTCTAGCCTTATACCACACTACATCTGGCAGACTAAACCATCCCCCCCCCCTCGGTAGGCGGTCACCAGCCACAAGTAGTACGTGCAAATGCAAGCACAACTTTTTCAGTGCCAACGGTTATTCTAAGGAACCAGTCTGATTACCATTGCCTAGCACGGCAGCTAAAAAGCTGGTACATGTATCTTTGCAGGTTACCATCTGAGCTTCGGCTGAAGACAGTCAGCGATATGCCTCCTAATGATACGTCACCCAACAAACCAAAACGCGATGGAATCTACAAAAGAACAATGCACCAGTATTGTGTCTAATGAGCCCATAACACCTGTAGTAGATGATTTTGACCAGACATTTTACACTGTATGTAGATGATTAACCACGGGAGTAACTACACAGACGATGAATAAGACGTTGAATCCAAGTACACACTGAAAGAACGATTGTTCACCGGATACTCACTAGTAGGCGGAAGTTCACGTGTGAGTTGCACAACTTCCGAAACATTGCTTACATCTGAGAAACGTTCATGTATGTACACTAAGACCCAAGGGCTCCTCAGTAAACTTACCGAACTTCGGCTACGTCAGGTTGCGAATGCTTGGGACCTAATTTCTATTACCGAAACTTGGTTGCACCAAGAGGTGTCTGATGCTGAGGTTGAGATAGCAGGAACGTCACTCACCGGGGACGACGACCACAGCAGAGAAGGTGGGGTCCTACTCTACTACTGCAGCGACTTGCAATGTGCAATAGTTGATGGTCTGAAAACTCACGTTACCGACTTACCCTGTTGCCGTCTCCGACTAAGACACAACGACACATGTGTCGTAGCTGTCATTTACTGCCCCCCAACGTCCACTCCGGAAATGCATTCCCGCTTGATGCGTGTCCTGAACAGGGTAACACGCACTAGATACAGCCACATTCTCATCTTCATAAACGCCAATCTACACGATCTGGTGGTATCGGCATTGACCTGTGAACATTTCAAAGCAGACGTGCATGAACTGCTCACCAATGTTCCCTTGTACAATCATGCCACCACGCTCACTAGATTCAGGACAGTAAACAAACCGTCCATATTGGACCTTGTACCCACGAATGAAGAGCTCATGGTTGACAAGTTATTGATGCATAGTCCACTAAGTCTCAGTGACTATGTAGTGCTAACGTTCAACTATGTGTGTTATGCAGAGTATCCATCTGAATACTCCGAACTAACTCATACAATCACACGCTACCACGTCCTGAAAGAACTCGTCGAGGCATCTGCTTGGAAAATCTCAAACACCGGTCCCCTTGACAAAGTTTGGACAGATTTTGTTGAGACTCAGCGACACGATCAATAAATCATCAGAGACCAAGCCACTTCGTCCCGTCAAAATGCCTGCAATTCTAAGGAGCAGGACTCGAAAATGCCTGGCGATAAGGGATGCAGCCTGGCGTGCTTAGAAGATTAACCCCGACTCAGAGACTTGGGGCAATTTCCTGAACCATCGCAACCATTGCACTGCACTTGTCCGTGTGGACAAAGTAAGTTCTCAACAGTGCTTAGCCAAAAGATTCCTGGCAAACCACAAAATACTATATATGCATGTCAACAATCTTCGTAAATTGAAGCATGACAACTCTCCACTTTTAGCTACAGGCGGTGGAGCGTAAAGCTCCGAAGAAGCAGCTAATGCCCTGCGGCTAAATACGCCTTAATTTTCGAACTCGCAGCTTCTATCTGCCCTGTAATGTCATGCACGTTACCGACTCCGTTGTTTACGCATGTAATTTGCAACCTATTAATTGTGCCAAGGAATGTACTCTACCTGCACGATCATAGCTTGCCGGGAGCAGAAAGCATCCGCC